ATGACAAAAACGTCACTAAATAAGTCATTATATCAGAACAAGTCAACCTATTTTGATAGTTCTTCTAATGAATGAGCTCCTGATAATTGAGGCCTGTTTACAGCATTTACCAAAAAGTAATTTGATGTGGAGGTCATCGCAAAGGAATGTGGCCGAGCCACTGCCAGCGACTTGCCGAAGTTAAAGCAATGCTAGATTCCTTTTTATTCAGTATCACATATTATATTAAAGATACTTTTCTTGCGTGTATTCTAGTCATTTTAAAAATAAAAATACTTTATTATGCCATTTAAAAAGAAAAATGTCTGACTCACAAACATCTGGAATCTCATAAGTCTAAATCCTTACTTCCATACACTGTTACATTACACAAAAAAATCTAACGAAAGAAACAAGTCAACGCTTGTAAATTTCTTTATTTTTGCGTTTATTGGACTCTGACACAAGCTAAATAACACAAATTGAACACCAAACAGTACAACAGGAGAATTTTATTGGAAAAATAAACATTGTGCTGTCTCCCATACCCTTACAGTGAAATCCGCCAGTTTCAAGTTTTGACTTAGAATTAGTTAGTTAGTATTAGGACATGATTGTAATATACCTTTGTAAACTTTGTTACCTACGAAGATTATTATGGGGGCTTTCGTGGCCTAGAGGTTAAAGTGTTGGCCTCTCATTCAAAGGTCCCGGGTTCGAGTCCGGGTAGCGACAGAAAAATTTCTTCTCTTAAATTGTCTCCTCTACTTAACTTTCACCTCCTTTTCTGCTCTCTAGCAATGTTCTGTTGTCTGTTTTCGTCTCCTCTTTTCTGCCCCCACCCCTTCTCCTCCTTTGCCCCCTTCTCTGGGCTCCTGACTCTTTCTGCAGCCTTTTTACTGCTACTCCTTGGCTCCTTACTGACTGTCTTTCAGCCACACCCCTGATCTTCTGGTGGGAAAGATCTACACTTAGCCTTCTCGGACAAGGGTGAAAAATCTTGGAGGGCCGGTGTTCAAGTTGCGCATGCTTAAAGATCCCTGTGTGGTCTAAAATCGATAAGAGTAGGCTTCGACCACCACTCTGGCAAAATTCAAAATTTCCTACCAACAGGAAAAGTTTAGTGTGTCTTGCGCACTCATATGATCTTATATGCAGTTGCGAGCGCCGTAAAACATTTACCCAAAAAAAAAAAAAAGATTATTTTATTAATAAATACTTTGTGCTATAATTTCTTGGAAAATGATGGCTATTCTTCTAAACCTGCTTGGTTTATTTACATTCGCTTGAACTGGATAAGAAGACTTGAAATAAGTGAACAAAACATGCAAAACTGAAAGCATGCCAAAGATAGGCCACTCATAACCCATTTCTGCCCATCCATCTTTTTGTTATGATTTTCTTAATTTTAGGGGAAAACTTTCATTTTACCCTGTTGAAATTACAATTACATGCCCTTTAATTGTTCAAAAGACTGGTGTATTCTAACCTGTTTTTACAGTTTTGAGTTTGTGTTAAAAAGGTAATGCCAATTAATTGGAAACAGTTTTGTTCCCCAATTTTTAGAATACGGTCATGAGGTCTAGAAGTGTCCATGCAGAGGAAAATGACAAAGACAATTCAGGAGAACTAGTGTAACTGTTTTTAAAAAAAAAATGAAATGGGGTTTCTTTCTTTACATGCTGCACTCTAGCATGAATAGTTCATCAAAATCAAGTCTCTTCTTTGCCATCACAAAAGGTACCTTTTATTGATAAAAGGGAAGGATGGAAAATGCATGTACTTTGTTCGGTGTCGAAGCAAGAGTAAGGAAGAGGGTGTTGCTGATAAGTTTCCAACTAAAATAAAAGTGCTCTTTTGTCAGATCATTTTTATCATAATGATGAAACAAAAACTGTTCAGAAAGAACGAGCCACCCCGCTTCTTGGGTAATCTCAGTCTGTATCATCACTTCCCGATCTATGCCTGCACATTTAACCACACACACACAGTTCTAGTGCCTTAGTACTGCTAATCAGCAGTGAAAGTGATGTGTCTGCTGGATACCACCTGGATGTGTATTACGCAGTGCAGGGGCCAACCTGGTGGGCTTTTATGTAACCTGATTCTCTTGATGAAGATGGGTGTGTAATGTGTTGTGTCCAATCAAGCGTGCAGTGCTACTTGAATTCAAGACCTTTGTGAGGGAAAATTTGATTTTTTCTTTCTTTGTAGACGAGCTGTTTGACAAATCCAATCGGATGTTTGAGAAAATAATGTTGCCAATGCAAAGAATATGTGAAGCGTGCTGACAAAATGAGTTACTTCTCAAATTTGAGCCTTATGATGGAAATATATATATATAATCACGCTTATAGGTGAAGTTTTACAATTTAGAAGTATGAAATAATAAAGGGCTTGTTATAAGTTTATACTTAACTAATATGGCGTCTATAGAAAATGTACAAATTTTTCAAATTTGACCTCAGTGTTGATTTTCGACCAATATCTCCATTTGTGGATTGCACGAAGTAGCTCATCTTGTCAGCACGTCTCACATAGTACAGTGGTACAATCGATGAATGGTAATGCTGGGCAGTATCAGTGAAATTCAGTTCCGGTACTTCTCTGGCACTGGGTCTCGACCTCTGCCAGTACCGGTACTGGTACTGGAACTGAGAGTACATGATGTCAGAGGCTCCGCTCATCTAGTGTCTCGCCTGCTGCATCCCTTTTCCAAGTTCTTTCATGGCTAATTCTTCCTGTGTTTGAAGTGCAGATTCTGTCACAGTGCTTGCATGTCAGTGACATGGATCAAAGTTCTGTATTTTCGCTGTTTTCCTTTCATCATTGGGGCTTCTCAGCCTTGTTGTTTCTAGGCTGCTCTCAAGCATAGTTCTTTCCTTTATCATTTTCTTCCATGTTTTCCTGTCCTCAGCTATTTCTTCCCAGATGCTAACATCTACTCCAAGCTTAGATAGCTGTTTTTGCAGGTGTCTTTGTTCCTCAATTTTGGTCTTCCTCTTGGTCTCTTTCCCTAGGTAAGTTCTCCATAGAGAAGTTGCTTCAAAATCCGGTTGTCGTCCATTCTCTTGACATGACCCAGCTGTGTCAATCTTTTTAAACACAGGATAGTTGTCATGCTCTGGAGGTTTGCCCGTGCCAACACTTCAGCATTTGTAACCTTTTCACACCTGAGATTTTGCGGCAGCGTCTGAGATGGAAAATGTCGAGGCGCTTTTCTTGCCTGCTGTACAAAATCCATGTTTCAGATCCATAAAGGAGTGTGCCGAGAACACATGCTTCGTACGTCTTGATTTTTGTTTTTATTGTTAATCTTTTGTTTTCCCATGCTCATTTTGTCAGCCTTCCAAAAGTTGTTGCTGCCTTCGCTATCGTGATGTTGATCTCATAATCAAGTGATGTAGTAGAGCTGATGGTAGACCCCAGGTAACAGAACTTGTCCACTCTCTCAAGTTCTTTGTCGTTTAGCCATATATATGGCTCTGCTCTGCACGTTCTTGAGAAAGGATGAGTTTTCTAAACACTGTTGAACAAGCTAAAGACCTTACATGCTGTTGATAAGCGGTCCATCATTGTTTATAGGGTTGATTCACAGTGAGCAACAAGAGCAGCATCATCAGCGAAGAGAAGGTCTCATACTGTTGTATTGTTGGTCTTGGTCTTGGCCTGGAGTCGAGCAAGATTGAAGAGCGACCCATCAGTTTTCCAGTGGAGGAAGACATCCCCTGGTGACTCTTTGAATGCGTATTGCAATGAGACAGCAAAATAAGTGCTAAAAAGAGTTGGTGCTAAGACACAATAAATAAATAATAAATAGCATTTGTATAAAAGTCGAGTCACTATTGTTATAGTGCCCATTAAAGTTCCTGAAGACCTAAACTAGGACAGTTTCAAATTACAGTTTTATGCTACTTTTCAGTCTGGTTTTGTCTATAGCATCATTTTAGGAGCCTGAAACCTTTTATCAACACATCCAAAAATCCAGGAAGAGAATGAATCCTTATTATATCATTATTGTTATATTGTAAATGTACATTAGTTTTCAAGGGTATCACTGCCTCAGCTTTGCATAGGCTATTTGTTTGTTTCTCATACAACTTACTCTTAGAACTACTCATGCAGAATTAACTGAAATGGTTTTTGCCATCTGGCTCTGCATCTTACTTGAAGGCTATGATTAGGCCCCATCTTCTTCAAAATCATCTATTTTTGTATCGGTGGTCCCATAGTATTAGCCCATGCACCATTAGGTCTTAAACTGGTGCTAGGGCCAGTTTTATCATCATTACCATTAATTTTGCACTTTTCTTCATGACTACTACTTTACTTTCATAGGTCATTACCAGTTACAGCTGTACAGCATGAATTGCATTATCTTCAGAAACCCTGCAAATTAGATAATTGTGCTCATTCATCAGGATTATGACCTGCAGCTTGGCGGTACAAGAGCAAAAGCTTATCCATATCCCCCTTTTCAGGATGGAATCCATTGTTCAAAACTTAACAAGAAAACCAGTCATTAAATTACTGCTACACATAGACAGATGGGAAGCTAGGTTTTTGTATCCCACCGTTCTATCATAATCCTAAATGTGCTGTAAATAAAAACACCCAACGAGGTATGTCGTAAATGGAGTATAAATCCTAATAATGATAAAGCCTATACGGGTGCCTGTAACCAAATGGTTTAGGGCCATAGCAATTCTTCCTTGGTGTTCAGCTGCCTGTCTTGTTGATGTGCAAGTAAATGTTAACTGACTGAAATAGTGACTTGACTTCAAGTTTGCAAGCGCCCTGCGCTTTTGACATATAAAAAAATTCCGTGGGATTCTTTTTCTTGCGCAAATGGTATGAATCCTCCTCTCTACTTTTGATCATTGTTATTTTGCCCATTTTTAGGTTCATGAAGACTTAAAACTAGGACAGTTTCACATTACAGTTTTATGCTACCTTTCAGTTTTTCAGTTACAGGCTCATTATATTTTGCATGTCTTTGCTCTCTCTCTTTTCAAATCCAGGCTGCAGACCTCACCAAACCAATAGATAAAAGAATCTACAAAGGAACGTTACCCACCTGCCATGACTTCAATCAACACTATCTCAGCCCTGAGAGTGTGCTGTTGGTGGTCGGGTTCACTGCAGGTCAGGTGCAGTTAATAGACCCCATTAAAAAGGAAATCAGCAAATTGTTCAATGCTGAGGTAAGCTTTTTAATACTTTCCTCTTTCTGTCCCCGTCGTTTTATGCAAGAAAAATCTGAAATTATGCAAACTGAGCCTAAAAATGTGAAATTATGCGATTCTGTTAGTTTTAACAAAGAATGATAAAGGAAAATAATCAGAAATTATGCAAAAAATGATCAAATTTTGCTAAATTGTGTAGGGTGCATAAAACCACAGGGACAGCTCTTTTATGTTAAAAAGGGTTTACTAATGCAATCGTTTTGTTTTTTTGGTGTAGTTTCCATAGGCAGTCCACACCAAGAATTTGCAAAAATATGAATTCTTGAATTAACTTTACTAAATCGTCTTTATTATGAAGCACGTACTTTACTTTCAGACACAGCAGTTTTTCTTATTTTAAAAAAAGTATTTAGCAAGTTTGGGGGGGGGGGGGGGGGGGGGGGGGTATTTGTTTTTCTTTCAAAATCAAAACGATTTTTTTTTTTGGTAAGCAAGTTTGCTCCAGGCAGGATCACATCGAACTGTGAACCCTTCCCTCACCATTGCAGCAGTTGCCTCTGCTCCCTAATCCTAATTTGCAATACAGAAGGAATTTTAATTGGTGTGGTCACAAACACAATGTTTTGTGTGAACAAAGGAGGGGGAAATCGGTCATAGATGGAAAGCTATAAATTTTGTACAGGTAAAGTGGAGCAACAACTGGATAAGCGTAGCTCTTGAGACTCACGATAGGGTACTTACTTTACTTTACTTTTTCCGTCCTCTTGTACCTCTAGGGCATCGAGGGGAGTAAGAGCTTCCTGTCGCTAGCGAGTTTGATGGCCTGGCTGGGTGGGATATTGAATGTCACGATAGGATATAATTTTTAAGTGAAAAAGGCCTTCCTCATTCCATTGTGATTGATCATCAAAGTTAACACTCTTTACCTACCATAAGTTATAAACCCACCCCTGGGCCACGTCGGTTCATTAAAGAGTGAAGAGAAACCATTTTACTGGTTGTGGGCTTGAACATATGGGTCACTTTGGATTCTTCCCTTGGTGCGTTTGCTAAGATCCCATTCACCTAAGATCCCGCATTTTCCTTGCTCCCGAGCAACGGGATCCAAGGCGGAGACTACTGTATTGTGGTTTGGTTATTCCCTATTTTTCATTTGCATGTGTTTGAGCTCCATTAACTCTGGTCGGCTGGAATGACAATGGGAACGTCGATTCTGGACGTGTTTTATTTTGCATCCATATATGTACGTATGCAGGGTTTTTTATTTTACAACAATCCTATTTTGGCCGCTACGATTGATTACCCGATCTCCCCCAAAATTACAATGCAAACCCCACCCCCCCAGGTTTTCTCACCCTACAAAACACCGAGATGTAAACAAATAGAAGCATCCTGCATGGTCTTACCTTTAATAGCTCTAGTTTTTTAAAAGAATGTTTGTGTGTACCTGGAGAAAGGTCGCAGTGTTGGGAATTTTGGATAATAAAATAAGGGCATTGCTCGAAAATAGCTTTGCCGACAACTGGGACCTTTCTATAGGCACACACACACATATGTTTGTGAAAAACTTTTTTTTTTTTTTGTTCCTTGAAAATGTCTCCCCGCTCTCAAAACCAGGGCCCTTTTGAAAAATAATTCAGACGAACTGGGGATGAAAATTACAAGGTTAAAGAATTTATTGTGAGTTTTGTGTTTACACTGTGAATGCTTGAATTGTTTTAACAAAAACATTTCCTTTTCTTTTTCAGAGATTGATAGATAAGACCAAAGTGACATGCATCAAGTGGATCCCTGGATCTCCAAATCAGTTCTTAGTTTCTCATGGCTCAGGACAAATGTACTTGTACAGTGAGGAGCTTCCATGTGGACAGACCACACCACAGTATCAACCATTTAAGCAAGGGGATGGTTTTGCTGTGTACACGTGCAAGACGAGAAGCACAAGGAATCCTCTTTACCGTTGGGTCATTGGGCAAGGGGCAATCAATGAATTTGCATTCTCTCCTTGTGCTCGCTACTTGGCAGTAGTAGGCCAGGATGGACATCTTCGGGTGTTTCAGTACAGCACAATGGAATTATTGGGGACGATGAAGAGTTTCTTCGGTGGGTTGTTGTGTGTATGTTGGTCACCCGATGGGAAGTATCTTGTCACTGGTGGAGAAGATGATTTAGTGACAGTTTGGTCTTTCCATGAGAAACGTGTTGTGTGCCGTGGCCATGGACACAAGTCGTGGGTGAACATGGTAGCCTTTGATAAGTACACGTCGACAGTTTGTGATGAGACGACGAGTGATGTGATAGGTGCTGACGGTGAAATCAGCTCTGTGAAGGCCAATGCAGTGGCGAGCAATGAGGGGAGCAATCACATAAACAGACTTAGCTCCACAAGTAGCAATCCAGAGTTCCCCCAAACTTTGCCGCCGCAGCAAACCAATGGCAAACACCTCAATGCCAACCATAGTAATTCCTCTTCGACGCCTGCACTAGAAAGCAGCACGAACCTCAACTACATTTCTTACAGATTTGGCTCTGTGGGCCAAGATACAGAGTTGTGTATGTGGGACTTGACAGAAGATGTTCTAAAACAGCCATATGGGAAATCTCGAACTAGCAGCTCAGGATTATTGGGCCTGAATTCCTCCTCTTCATCCTCATTGCCTCGCTCAAACAGTCTACCTAGCTCACAGAAGGCAAACTCTGTTGGGCCTGTGACGAGCAATGATGTGTCTGGCCATGCATATGCTGATGGCCACGCACACCCGATACAAAATGCTGTGATGAACGCAAGCTCAAAATTTGCGACTTTATCTGTGTCTGATCGCAAAGAAAGCAGTGACAAGAAGGAGCATAAAAGAAACTTCAGTCTAGCGGCTCGAAATAGTGACAAATCGTCTGTGGTGAAATCAAACAATGTACGTCCAGTGGATAGTGCTATGAAGTTATATGGCACCCAGGCGTGTCCAAAGTTAGATCAAGTGCCCATGTTAGAACCGTTAGTATGCAAAAAAGTTTCACACGAGAGACTCACAGCAATTGCATTCCGCAATGAGTGTATCGTAACAGCTTGTCAGGAGGGAATTGTGCTTACTTGGGCAAGGCCAGGAAAAGTGGCAAGTATTTTTTTGTTCTTCTATAAGTTTTTGCTAATGTGTGACATTGTATTGTTGTGCATTGAGGCACTCATAAAAAAAAATTGAACTCAAAGAAAGCGGCATTGTTCTGCTTAATTGGTAATTTTTGTTACTCTTTTTTTGGGGGGGGGGTACACCTTTAATGTGCATTTAAAAACACATTTCTTGGTGGATTTTTACAGGAAAATTTAACCAATCTTACGTTACTGATACTTTTTACTTTTTCTGTCCTCTTATCATGAGGGGTCAAGGGGGATGCAACTGTCAGACGTGGGCCAGGTGTGTTACTGCTTGGATTGTCATTTTGTTCCCTGGAGGGGAGGGTCTCCCTGACTGCTGTCAATCCATCTTTTTCTTGGCCTTCCTTTTGCCATGAAGCCATCAAATTGCCTGTTCCAGGCAGGCCTTAAAGGCTAGCTAGCTGTGTATTGGCCCCAGTCTCACTGTGTGTCCCAACCACCTTAAATTTATTGTCTCTCTTGGTGTCATTCATGCTAGATTCAACACCCAATTGATGTCTGATTTCTTCGTTTCTTTGTCTGTCTCTTCTCATAATATGTATTTCGTGATTTTTGAAGACATTTCATTTTGCATACTGCTATTTAGCTTTGTTGCGCTTTGTTGAGAGTCGAGGTTGTGGCTGATAGCAGTGAGTTGGTATGAAGATTGATCTGATTAGTTGTTTCTTGTCTCGATTGGGTGTTTTGATGGGAGAAGATGGGTGATAGTTGGTACATGACCGCATTTGCCTTTTGTACTTAAAAATTTGTCTGTCCTTTTCCTTGTCTGATGCGAACATGCTTCCAAGGTATTTGAATTTTTATGTATACTTGTTTCTATAGTAATGTGCTGTTGACTTGGATGTATCTGGGGTTTGGTTTTTGGAGATTTCATCTCTTGTAGTTGTGCTCACTTTCATTCTATACAGATGCTTTGTTTGATTTAGTGACATGTTCTCATGGATGCCAGATGATTGCCAGATCGCCGGATTTGCCGGCAAACCGGAATTTTGAATGGTCCGAACAAGCTTTGCCAGAATCTCGCCGGCATCGATCGAGGCCAATCTTGCACGGACGTGACCAGAAGCTCCCACTTCCTGTTTCCGGCCTGGTTTCCGGTGGTTTTGTTTACAAAAGTGATTGTGTCAATGTGAATCTCAGAGTCGAAGAGAAGCATTAGAAATCTGTCTAGATTTTTTCTGCAGTGACAAACAGCACACGTTTAAAGGGATGGTTTTAAGAGGCGAGAGGGGCATGATAAGTTTGCAGGAATGTAAGAATTCAGGAAGTCAGTTTGCAGGAATTGGGTTGTTTAAACACTGGCATCCTACATGTTCTTGAAGACTGTTCTGGTCTTGGTGTGTATGAGACTCTGGTTGTCTGTGAAGAGCAGTTTGCTAAGTTGTTCTGAGTTGTTGCATTCTTCTTGTGTTATCTTATGAAGAGTAAAACAATCAAAGGCACAAATAATACGAATTTGTTATTTCCAAGGATACTGAAGCTTTGGAAGTCTCTGAACTTTGGCAGCTATTTTCTTGCTAATTTTACCTCTGACACCTGGCGACCCCACCCCCTTCAATTACAAAAAACGTCTCAACTTCAATTTAATATGGATAGGTATTTTTCTTTCATCGAAAGCAAGGCAAATGAACATCCTTTGAGATTATATCAATAACTCTATGCCCTACAATTGATGAGCGCCTGATTCCACCGTGTCGTGATACAACGACTGACAGGGATGTGCGTGTGACCTGAATCAGTCTACCTTGACTGAATTGATTTAATTTAAGTGGCAAGCCATTAAACTAAAATTTGGGCCCAAACTCCTTTCAACCGAGTTGGTGGTAGGATGTTTTTAGTGAAGAGAATCGCCATTATTATGATTGTCTTAGGTTGTTCGTGTTCGGAAAAGTTCATTATAATGTTTTTGATCCGTTTTGCATATTTTTTTATTTTTTTCAGTTTTTTAAGGTTTTTTCACAGTGTGTGTGCCCATGCATTTAAGTTTGATCAGACCTAAAGCGTTTCAGTAAAAGAAAGAAGGATGGGCGTCTTTCAGAGTTCAGTTTTTCTTTCTATTATAGTCCAGGGATGGGAGCTTATTATTTTAACTTCTGTGTATCTGATTTATATATTTTTAAAAGCCATAAGTTATTGATGAGTGTTTGAGATCATAATTGATAAATCATCTTTTTCTTCTTTAGTTACGAGATGGAGTTGAATGACAGCAAGCAACACAACAGTCTGTCTCCAGCAACGAAGAACTCACTCTGTGACTTAAGCTTCAGATAGCTTCAAGTGGACAGCCTCTTTTTAACTGCTTTCTTTGAGATGGCACCAATAACATGCATGGCCACTATCAAGAGGCGAGTCACCTCAAGGAGGAACCTCATGTTTCACCAACGGCACAACTCATGATTATGCATGATTGTTATTATGTTCAGTGTCCACAAATCTTTTCTGAGCAGATATCAAGAGTGCCTCTTCCCCCTCACTCTCTCTCTCTCTCCCCCTCTCTCTCTCTTTCCCTTTCTTTTTTCTCCCTGTCAGTGTTTATGAAAAGTGGAAGATGAGCTGCAATGTGGACTTTCTCTGTCAGTCTCAGCATTTAATCAGTATGTTCAGTTTCTACTTGCTTGCTCAGTTGTGGGCAGTTCAATGTGGGCTCAGTTGTATTTGCATAAAACTAAACAATTATTTTACTTTGGTTTCCATTGTGCTCTGATAAATGTGCCAATCCCAAGTTTTGTATTGGAAGCTGGGAGGAGGGGGGGGTTGTTTGTTTCGTTTTGTTTTTCTATAGCTTTTCCTTACGGTTTTCAGTCATTGCACAGTACCATGGCTGTGAAACATGTCCAAATAACTTAAGTCTTACAGGTGTCTTAGAATGTCTCACACATACTCTTTGTCTTTTAGATTCTAAGTTGTCTTAAGCACGTTGTTTTTTTTTTAATTTTTAGAAAGTACCAAAATCAACATTTCCAGACTATGTGATCTTGTAAGTTTTTCATGTGACACGCGACTACAACATTATTTATACCGAACATGGTATGATTTGTCAAAATTCCTGTGATTGTTATGAATGTTTTATGATACTGGAGGTTGTTCTTTGTCTCTCGTTTGCAATGGAGAGTTTTGCAATTATTGTTTACATTCGTGATACAGATGGGGCACGTACTGGGGCCTGCCTCGTCATTTGAAGCTACATCACCATTTGTAAGGCGCATGGTATTATAGAAAATGGGCCTTTGGCAGTATGCTTTTGGCTTTCATGCTACATTAACTGTCTGTTTGCCAGGCACTAAGGTCCTACCCAAAGTGGTGATGGTTGAAAAGCATCCATGTGTGGAAAGAACAGAAATATTGTTTTTAGAACTATTTTTTAAATTATGTGATGTATAAAATATTAGCAAAGACAACATTTATCATAATAATAATAGTTTTCAAATATGGAAAGTTAAGTATAGTATACTAAAACCAAATTTTGTCATAGATAATTTTTCATGTGTAAAAATAGCTGCTTCAGAACAGCTGCCTATGAGAATAGATCAGTATAAGATAGCTTTTTTATGAAAGGAAAAGCAGTTTCAACTAATAAGATTAGACAGTCAGCCTCCGTTTTCTGCTAATGCAGCAGATAGAGACTCGTGATTGCTTGGTTGTGTTGGTTCCTTGTGTGTTTTTTGGGGGGGGGGGGGGGGGGGGGGGGGGTTACATTTGAAAGCAACAAAAATCATAGCATACATAACGTGTAGATTTTGTAAAATGTTGACACTTAGTATTTCACTAAGTACGCTGGGTTTATAAAGGTTGTTTTCTTTTAGTTTTGTTTTCCCAAATTGTTAATCTTTGCCACAGCAGAGAAAAGAGAAGGAGTTGTGTCAGATGGGAAACTGTTGCCTGGAAGCAGTAGTAGCACATACATAAAGTACTTTTTTAAAAAATGAATGAGTTTATTTCGGCTGCAATTAGTTGTCATGTCGAAGTGGTTGTGTGAGTTTCGGGCGAAGTTCCTTTTGAAGCCAAAGCCTAGCATCTGTTTAGTCTCTAAGGCAAAAACTTAAAATTTAATGCTTTTGTCAAGACACTTACCTAAGTGGTTGTCATCCGTGTTCCTGCAACATGGAGCTTGAGGGATTGTAGTAAAGTATATATTTGATGTGCATGGCTTTTTTTGTTGTTGTTTCATTAATCAGATTTGTGAGTATAGTTAATCGTTTATCAATAATGGTATGTCCACCATGAAGCCACCATGAATCTCGGGACAAAGATATTTTAAACAGTTCAGCATCACACTTAATTGAAATAAACTAAAATAAGTTCCAAAAAAATTGTAAGGCAGAAAATGTGGACATATCTGTAGCTTTGCATTGGAGGTTAAACTATGAAGACTCAAGTGGTTATGACATTGGTGCTCATTTTTTTAAATACGAAAGGGAAAAGCGGGAAAGAAACATAGATCTTTATCTTTGAAAAGCATTTTAAAAGTTTAAAAAATCTTAAATCTAAGATAAGTTGAGTTTGATGTAGATTTTATGGATGAAAAGTCATTAACACTTTGCAGTCACACAGGCTGCAGTATAAAATACCCCATCTGGTCATTCAGCCAGGAGAACGACTGCCACCCTGCGCCAGGTGACCGGAATGGATAATTTTCACCGGCGCATTATTGCGCTAAGTGACTACAAAGTGTGAAAGCGCCATAGCCCCTTAACTCTGCTTTGTTCTAAGTACGCCATACAACTTGGCTCTTTGGGTATAGCTAAAAGTTTTCCACGATTCAAGCATTTGATCAGATTGACATAAAGGAAAAGCATTATTTGGAAGGGTAAGTCTTTTGTCTTTCTAGGCTGCTCTGCAGATTGTGTGTTTTTTGGGGAGAAGGGGGGATCAATTGTATTGGTTTGTTGATTTTTGAAAGAAAGAAATAACTATCGACAAACTCACCTTGAGTGTATTGAGAGTGCTGATTTCAACATGCATAGCCATGCTTGCAGTGAATTCAGCTGTAATGAAATGGTTACCGGTACAGCATTTTGCAAAGCAAGGTTATTCATTTACATTTCCTTTTCTTTTAAAATAATTCTCATCATTTAATTTTAGTCTTTGATTGATAATTACTCAAGGTTAGCCACAATAAGACTTTACACAGAGAATTTGAATGTGCAAGTTTTTTTGTATTTTTGTACAGAGGTTGACAAGTTTTCCTATGATTTTTATTGAGATTTGAGGTGGTCAAAATTTGTCTTGATTTATGTTTTGCAGTTTTGCTGTGCATGCAGAACTTTAACTCACAAATTTAGCGCATCGCTGAATTCTCTGGGAAAATGTCCTAACTAGTTTAATTCACAGGTATGATCACATACTTAACACAAGCACGCACAGAGTTTTGTATATGCTGGCAAAATTCTGTTGAAATGTGTGGAAGGTGGTTTGTTTGTTTGTTTGTTTGTTTGGTAAGAGTGAAACAGTGCTCACAACTAAATGTCATATGAATGCTCGAAACTGGTTTGAATTTCAATGCAAATGCAGTGTTTGACAGAATATGTTATGTCTTTCTTCGATTTGCAATTTGGATTTTTCAACATGTTAACAGATCTGAAGAACAATTCTTCTTATTGTAATGCATTTTCTAGTATTATGAGTTTGTGTGTATTTTGAAGACAGTGGTCAGCGGTACACGACTGTGTATGATATATATCATTTCTTGCGGGAATGTGATTCTGTTTACTTGTGTCTTAGAATTTAACACAATAAGTTGGTGTTGCTGAATGTTGCTATGTTGCTTTTTTGGGGGGGGGGGGGGGGGGTTATTATTTCTGCTTTTCTGTTGTAGGTTTTTAATTCCATCATGATCGTTGCACTTTATTAAGATATATTTGTCCGAGATAAAAGGTGGCCTGCATTAGTGATACACACTTTATGTTTATGAGTTGTGTGTTTTGTTGGGAGAAGTGGAATTATTATGGACCGGGTTTGTGGGAACAGTCCATGAGCAGGTTAACGGCACCTGTACTGATCACTGCTCTTTGGTAAATGCTGATTATAAATAATCTTGATACTGTTCTTTAAGTACTAGGTACCCGATATTTCTCTGCAGCTGTCTTGATCAACATCAGAATTCTCCTGAGTGATGTAACAAAATTCCCATGCTCACAAAGCATGATTAATTCTCACTTTGAATAGATAAGATAGAAAGATAGTCTTTTTGTTACAGACTATATATTTTTCTTTCACTTTTCTTTACTTTAGGTTTAACTTCAAAAGCTGTTAGTGATTCACAAGATCTTCAGCCAGTTACTCTGGCAGTTTTCGTTGTCCAATTTCTGAGCATGTAGATCTAAATAGTTTCAGCTTTTGAATGCTCAAAGTTTGAAAGTGTGGCAAACTTTTCACTCCAGAATTACTCTCATTGGCCACAGAAGGAGCCAAAAGGCATCTTAACCTGTAATTCTTCAATTTGGCTAAAGAAACGTTCTCCTCTGCACATGTATTGATCTTCTTCAAAATTGACAGACGAGCTATTATTATTAAGTCGTTTCAATATTATTCAGTTTTTAAAAAGTAAGAGTAATGCCGTCATCAAAATTACTTAGAACTTGTCACAGAGTGAGCTAATTCTTCATTGTGAGTTTACAGAGGGTCTTATGTTATGAAATAAAAAGTTTGTCAAAGAATGGGATATTTTCATTGTATGAACTTGAATGAGGGGGATGATGGTAACATATTAGCAAAGTCAAAGATTTTCAAGTCAATGACAGATTTTTAGTTTGTAAATATACTTTAAAACTAATTTATTCTGCACACTTTAATTTTTAGTTTCGCTTCAACAGACACCTTTTCCTCTTTACCATCTTCTCCTTCTCTCCACTCAGTTTGCTGAATATACAGACAGCCTAAACTAAAGATGCTACTGGCTCTTGCCAATTACATATTCACAACTTTCTGCTTTTAAGAGACTGACCTTGCTGCTGATAGCTGATGCCTCTTTTCACCATATATGTTTTTAAAAATGAGAAAAGAAATGGAGGGGGGGGGGGGTTAATTACTGGTACCAATACTAAATATACTGAATAAGAAGTGTGGAATGGCATATTCAGTGGACAACATATGGCCCAACAGGTAGCATTTTTGGTGTGCAGTGTATAGAAGTTTCTGTATTAAAAGCATAAATTGTTGTACGCTAGCCCATTGCTTAAATTCTTGTATTCGTCCTGCCTTCATTTAGCTCTCCTTGGTATTTGTTGAAAATCCAAGTGTGCTTAAAGTATGTATTTTTTGTCCAGTAATGAGTGAAGAGGTAGGCCCTCAACAAGAGCGTTTGTTGTAAAATATCGGAAGTCTTGTTAGCTCAATGAAAGCAAGCTTTTTATGTGAGGATTTTGAAAAGGGGAAATTTTGCTGTGAAGGAAAGGAAAAGTGGAGATTGAATGCACAAGTTTAAATTGCGTTTATGAAAGGAAAGTAAGTAATATTTTTTTTAATGAATTTGATAAATGATGATGGTTCTGGCAAGGGGGCTGAAAAAGGAAGTTGTATTTTTTCTCTGTGCTTAGCTTAAATAGGTGTATGGTACAGTGATGCATTTTGAAAGGGGATGCAATTTCAGTTGAATTCTTTCTTTATCGACGATAATGCTTGCGCTTACTGAGTTTTGCTTGACATCAACAAAGGTAGAGATGCTAATTTGTATTGTTCACAAATTGATCTGGTAAGAGATATCACACATGTTAAGCTTCCATACATTTATTTGCTGAAGAGTAAAGCTGTTTGAAATTCTTTGCCTTTCAAATGACTCACGATTCCCAAGAAAACCAGTTCACGCCAAAACATGTGGGGGGGGGGGGGTTTCAGTAGAATGTCCAGTTTTGAGTATTGTCAGGCCGAAAATGCTTTTTATCAGAAAATGATTGGACATTTGATATTGTTTGTGTTTTAAGTGTTTCTCTAAAAATATCACGTTTTCTAGCTATTTCCATAGTGAAAAACAGTTGTGTTAATGCAATAAATTGATGTGTGCTGACAACACAGTGTGTTTTGCGGCATACCGGCTCAAGCTGGTAGTAGTAGGTAGTCAGTTCAATGCAGTAAATTTAGCATTTAGCATTTATTTCAGACTGATGAAATTTACTGTAAGAAGACTTTACAGTATCGTTTGTATCTTTGTGAAAGTAATGATAAGATTTGCCCCACCGTTAGAATAGAAAGATTTTAATTACTCTAAAAAAATTTGTTTTTTCATTATTACTATAATTATTATAATCATTATTGTTATTATTATTATTATTAACAACTTTTGATAATAGTAGAGAGTGGCTCTACTTGTGGATAAAACAGATTGTCTTGAATTATAACAAGTTTTTTTGTTCTCATGTTACCATTTGCCTGTGCTTGAAGTATGGGTAGTTTTGTAAATTTAACTTAAACTGCTCTGAAGACAGATGGAAAAAAAAAGCTTGTTTTGTGAATTTTTGAACACATTTAGTGTCTGTACTTTATTCTGGGTGGAATATAATTCCTTTTTCTGTTTCATCTTTGTGGTCCATTTGTATTCAGTTTTATGCACTCTTTGGGGTTTTTTCTTTTACTTTTTATACATTTGCAACACATTGTTCAACATGTTGAGTTCACCTGTTGATTTGGCACTTTCACTTCGATAATTGTAATCGACTATGCAAGGAACTTTGTGGAAATGGTGTAGACCTGTTATGTGGTGGCTTAATGTCTCACTGGTAGAAATAGATAGTGTATCTAAAGGGTCATATATATATATATGTATGTATACACACTTCCTTTCTGAGTATGGTAGGCATCGGGGTAGTTTCTATCAGATTTGCATGTCGCGGAGATGCTGCAAGGAATAGCTCAATGGGTCTGTCGATTTTTGTTCTTTCACTTTGTTCAACCGGCACTGCTGCTCTCTTTTTTTTCCCCTTACTTTTTCTATATTTTGATATGATATAAAAGATTTTATTGGCAAGGCTATATATCGTGTATTTAGATACTGTTTCTTGAAAAGTTTTGGACCCATTTCCTTTAGGGTCTCATCCCATTCCTGCCATTTAGGAGCAGAACGTTATGTGCTGCTTACATGTTTTATTGATAAATATATTACACATATATATATATATATTAAAAGTGATAAAATAAAAGCACCTAAGATCTGATGTCATCTTCTAGCAAGATGTGGGAAAAGTTAATTTGGGTGGGTCTTAAAAACGTTTTAACAGAAGTTCCATAGTACCCATGATTTATTTTTTGGTAAGTGCACAGCCATAATAACACATAATAATATATAATGATAATAGTCTGCAGGACATAATATACAAAGTTTTCTCTGTGCGTCTAAGTTTAAAGAATAATGGTTTGTGTTCGCTCCTTTTTTTCTGCAATGGATTATTATTTGTCAGTTGGACAAGTTCTTTTGTCCAGTTTTTAATTC